GCCCATTGACAAAATTTTTCTATGTCAAATAGTTTTTGAGTTGTGGGGGTTTTTGTCAAAAAAACGAAAAGTGGTCTAAGTTACCCCGCCGGTTTAAGTTACCCCATTTTACGGTAGGCGTTTTCCAAGCTAGGTATTTAGTGGAAACTTTACCAATATCTGTGTTAGACTGTGTAATATAGTGTTTCTGTTTTAATAATGATAGTATATAGGTACCTAGGTATATGATTTCTTAACATCCTTCTGCTACATAGGTACCTACCTAGATAGGAAAAATGTTGAAGTTTACACTGTTACACAACTATTTCCTGTTTTGCAATAGTCCAATTAGTTTTGCTGCCATAACATTTTTATGCCATGGCCCATGGCACAGGACATCCCAATCTATCTGGCATTCCTAATTAGTTATTAGGCCTACCTTGTTTGATCATTGATGAAATTGATTGTTTGTATATTGTTAGTTGTTACATAGGTATACTGGTATACCTAGTAGCTATAAGGCTAAAGGCTAATCAGTATATGCCTATGCCATAACTATTAACCGTATAGCGTATACCTACAACCTACCTACTTTAATGGCTCATATTTCATCAGTTTGTTATTCTAAACCAAAAATATCAAGTAAAATGTCACCAGTATCAAAGTTGCCAAGCTAAATTTGTTAATTTGAAACCCCCAAGCCCAAGGGGCCAACTTCCAAGGGCCCCAATCCCAGGACCCAATGTAGGCTATTGGCTATATAGGCTACCCTACCTAGGTATATATTAATATAATATCCTTTATATTTATAATATAAAGAACATAATATGATATATATAATATAGTTTAATATAAAGAATTTTGTAAAGAATATATAATTCTTTACAAAATTCTTCCAAGTCTGTACAAGAGGAGCTCTCCAGTTAGCTTGCTTGCTTGCTTGCTTTGTTGGAGGTGTAGAGGTGGTCTCAGTCAGGCCAACTGTCACACCTGGACATGGCATTACTTAATGTTTTTCCAATACTGATTTTTCTGACCACTTATAGGTTTAATTAGCTCATAGGAGCACTGCAACTATATCATGGTTTTTGTTGATCTTCTTGGTCATGATGATTCAATGTATGGTTTTTCAGATAACCATCAATTGTTTGTGGAATTGCAGTTTTTCTATGTTTTCAAGCGATCTTATTCCTCTTCATAGTATTTCCCATTAGCTGATGCTTGATTGAAGTGCTGATGTTGTTTTCCTTTTGTTTCAGCTGATCCAGGTGGGTTGGTTCCTCTTCAAAGTGTCTCCAAACGTCCAGTACTTTTCTTGATTTATCAGTTTTTCTTCATCCTTTAATTGCGATCATTGGCCAAGTGTTCGGGGTCAGATAATGTTTACTTGTTGACTTGTCCCCAACAGTATCAAGCTGAGGTTGACAACATTACATCGAAATCTTTCGTACAGTTTTATTCTGCAATTTATATTATGTATGAATCATGCTGGTTTTTAAATAATATTTAATACTATTAAGTAAAATCTAAAGGCTTTATATATAAATGTAGCGGTAGCGCTGTAGCGGCAAAACCTCGTATCGCTACTTAAATACTGTATGTAGCGGGCGCTACCGCTACCGCTACAATTGCTTAAATGTAGCGCCGCTACCGCTACCGCTACATGTAGCGCGCTACTGCCCACCTCTGGGTACCGACCACATTCGTATAATAAATCCATTATGTTGTTCGCGAGTTCTACCTCGTAAGATTCTGAACTGAGTAGGCGTACTGATTAAAATTTAAATAGACTACTATCTTAATATGGACTCCCTTAACCTACTTAGCAAATGCTGGTAATTGAAATATTAAAACTCTCTAGGGATGTGTAATACTTGCACATATAGCGCACTCAGAAATATTTTTAGTTTTTCAAACTTTTTATAATATTGCTGCAGAGTAAATAACAGCGGCAATGTAATCCCTGAAATTGTTGTTAATATTCAATGTAAAAGGCTCACGTGTTGTGCATATGCAGCTGTTAAGGCTCTGATAAATGCAGCTAACGAAATTGGATTTCAACCTGAGTCGAGATATTAGGTGAATCTTCATCTGCGCAGTGACTAATAATTTCAGATACTTGTATTACTAGGTAATTAACCTAGAAGTGCCGCAAATTAACTTGGATCTTGCAAATTAACTTGAAAAACCTGAAAAATATGTGAATTTCGTGACTGGGGAGTGGTTGTAGTGATTTCAGATACGTGGGTTAGGTTTTTTCAACTAGGTAATTAACTAGTAAATGTGGCAATTGACATTGGTCTCATCTAAACTCGAAAAATAAGTTAGTTGTAAAATTCTCAGTGGCTGCGAAAATTTCAAGACTGAAAAGTCTAGCGTGGTCAATCTATTCATTCAGTCTATTTTGAATCTAGCAATTGACTGATAACTGCTGAAAAGGAAATTGGATCTCCACCAAACTCATAAAATAAGTTCGTTACGAAACCTGCGCCTTGGCTGTGAAAATGTCAGGATGTAAGTTTAGTTATTTCTGTATACGTGCTAATATTTTTAAAACGTAAATTTATCACAACCGCACATAAGAATCAGATAGAAATGCAGAGGAAAAATACTCTTTCGAGTAAATTAAGATTAACTATATAATTTTAATTTTGCTTTTAATATTTTTATCACTTAAATTTAGCCAAAACGCAACTGAGTGCATATATATACCAGATGATTGACGCAAACGAATTTGGACCTACACTAAAGTTGAGTTGAGTTTTACTAAATTATTACAACCACTACAGCCTAACCTAACCTAACCTAACAGCTAACACTATAAAACCGCAAAAGTGATGTTCAAATTGCACAGATTATCAGTGCAGCTTTTTGTGAAATGGAAAAAATATTATTAACTAATGAATTCAAATTTGAAATTCACCCAAACCTAGGAATTTATTCATCAGAAAACGGCAAAAATTCTGTTCAAATTTCACTATTGTCAGTTCAGCTGTCACCTAAATCTAAACCAAAACCTAAACATAAATCCAACCCAAGGCCTAAAAGAAAATAAATTTTTAATGACAGTCAGCTATTCGAGGGAAATAAATAAGAAAATAATTACAGACCACGAAGATGTTTGCACACTACCAGAGTCGCCCTCGATTAGCCATGTTGGAATGTGACTGCACTTGTGGTAGCAGTGGTGGAATGTGCAGATATCTATACCAGATAGGGAAGTTTGGAACCACCGCTCCAGGCGCTCCTGAGCTGCGTGGACTCCAGTTCCCTTGCGATGAAATTTGCCATATTTTCACTTTTAATCAAGAAGCCCATTAATGATTACGATCGTATAAACATGCAAACTTTTCTGTTTGTAAATACTTGATTGACAGTGTAACGGAAATTTTTATTACTGTTTAGACCAGTGTTTCCCAAAGTGGGCGATATCGCCCCCCTAGGGGCGATGGAAAGATTTTGGGGGGCGGTAAGGGAGAAGAGAGCGGTAGGGGGGGCGATAGTCTGAAGTCAATGTCAGAAGTTCGAATGTTTGTTTGAGGATTTGTACACAACACGTGCAGCACATGACTCCCAGCGATGGGTTTTTCCACCCAGATCTGTTTTTTTAACCTCTCCTGGGTTTACGTCTGGGACAAATTAACAGCTGGACTCGCAGCCGGTCTCACGGCCAATTTCTAAATTCAATGATCAATAAATATCTCTCAAACTAATGAACTTAACTCGATGAAACTTGGTATACGTATTCATTAGGATCTAATAATAATGTTTTGCTCGTGAAAATTGTTTTAATTTTGCCATAGTTATATGGCAATACGGGCCGAAATTCACAGCGATCAAGTAATCTCTTCCAAACTACTGAACAGATTCGAACGAAATTTTGAATTTACAGTCCTAACTACCAAACAGTAATGTTTAGCTCGTGAAAATTTTTTCTATTGTGCCTTCGTTCGCGAATTTTTTTTTCATTTCATCTTCATTTGTGATTTAAATAGCAATACGAGCTTAAATTCGCAGTAATCAAGAAATTGTTTCCAAAATACTGAACAAATTTGAACGGAACCTAACCTCAGCAACGGTGATGTTTACAGTTTTTTCGTTTTGCCTTCGTTTGCGAGTTATACGGCTCTTGGTTAACCGACCGGTAGAAAAGCCGATCGTTCCTCCTATATCTGTATAACTCGCGAACGAAAGCAAAATAGAAAATTGTCACGTGCTAAACACCACCGTTGAGAGGTTAGGTATGTATATACAAAGTTTCGTTGAAATCTGTTCTGTAGTTTAGAAGAAATTTTTTGATCACCGCAAATGTATTTGATAAATTACCCGGCGATACGGGCCGGATATAAGGAAGTGTGACATCAAAAATGACGGTGAAATTAAAAAAAAAAACTCGCAAACGAAGGTAAAATAAAAAAAAATTTATGAGCTAAAAAGTCACCGTTTGGTAGTTAAGAATGTATATTAAAAATTTCGTTCAAATCTGTTCAATAGTTTGGAAGAAATTCTTTGATCACTGCGAATTTCGGCCTGTTTCGCAATATACGCGTAACTCACGAATTAATGTGAAATTAAAAAAAAATTACGACCTAAACATCACCTTTAGGTTTTGATGAATAAGTGTTCCAAGTTTCATAGAGCCGCGTTCATTGGTTTGGGAGATATTTCTTGATAATTGAATTTGGAGAGTGGTCGAAAGACCGGCCACGAATCCGGCCGGAAATTCGCCCGAGACGTCCTGAGTTTCTAGTGCTGAAACAGCTAAAACAGCTGAAAAAAATTATCGGGCTCGCAAGGATGACGTCACGGCTCCGAATCGCCAGATGCATTGTGGGATCGACGGCCATGTTTGTAGACCGAGCTAGCTTTCGCTACAGTATTCAATCTAAGTCTCCATTTGAAATTTTTGCTTGAAGATGGGACGCTACTGCGCCGTTATTGGATGTACAAGTCATTCTCACGACCATTTAAACAGAAAACTTGACAATGGAATGAGTTTCTTTAGTTTACTAGCCGTGAAGGAAGGACAAGGCAGCTTAGTTCTCGACGTTACCACAAGACGTCGACGAGCATGGGTGGCAGCGATTCGACGTGGGGCCATCACATTTGAAACTAAACAGAAAATCTTCGTTTGCTCAAGACATTTTCTCTCTGGTACGCATTATCATTATTTAGTTATACCTCTTTACTTTGGTCATATCTATTATAAACACGGTGCTTCCTTTCTATCTTTGTTCTTGATCGTCATGGTGAACATAGTTCTGCACAAGCAGTTGTCTTTCCAAAACAGAATCAGGTTTATCTCTTTACAGTTTACCCATTGCTGTATTTTAATAATCTTGTCGCAATAATGCGACGTCACCGGCCTGCCTAGCAGTCGCATTTATAAGTCGCATTTTTTAAACGGTTGATTTTGCATTAAATATGTGATTGTTTGTCGGTTACAGGCCAGCCTGCTTATGAGATGTTTACCACCGACCCTGACTGGGCTCCTTCTCTCAATATGGGGCATGAAGAATTGAAACAAGATGCAACAAGATTCAATCGTTTGAGGGAACGGGAAAACAAGAACAGAGTTCAAGCGATGGCCAGAGCAAGACAGGTAGTTACAGAATAAAAAATTATTATCCATACACTAACAATGACAGTTCTGTTTTGTCATGTAGCCCTAAATTACTATTTGTACATTTTAACAATGACATTTCTGTTTTGTCATGTAACCCTAACATGTTTTCAAGGCAATAAAAATTGTTCTTGCTTTTGTTCAGGAGGCAGAGGAACGAGCAAAAAAGGAGGCAGAGAAGGCGGCTAGAGAGGAGGCGGCTAGAGAGGAGGCAACTAGAGAGGAGATGGCTAGAGAGGAGGCGGCTAGAGAGGAGGCAGACGAGCGACCAAGACAAGAGTCGGAGGATGATGTGTATGATTCATGCGATTTTTGCCACTTGAGGATTGGTGAAATTAATAGACTACTTAAAGAAAATCGTAAACTGAAAGATGAACTTGAGCATCTGCGATTCAGTGAGAAGTTTTTAAATGACGACACCAAGGTGAAATACTATACTGGACTGCCAAGCCATGCAACTTTCATGGTGTTGTTGCAGTGGCTAACTCCAGTGTTGAGCAGAGAGCGGAGAATTCTGTCACCTTTCCAGATGTTGCTCTTGACATTCATGAGACTGAGGCTGAACCTGCCAAGGACTCACATCGGCCATCTCTTGAGAGTTTCACCAACAACGGTAGGCAGTATGTTCTACGAAACAATTCAAGCTATGTTTGTGAAAATTGGTGGTTTTGTACAGTGGCCGGACAGGGAAACTCTTCACACTAGCATGCCACACCAATTTGTGGAAACTTTTGGTAAGAACGTTGCCGTTATTATCGACTGTTTTGAAGTTTTTATAGAGCGACCGTCAAACCTGAAAGCTAGGGCTCAAACGTTTTCCAATTATAATCATAATCACACAATTAAATACCTCATTGGCATAGCCCCTCAAGGTGCAATCACTTTCATTTCTAAGGGATGGGGAGGAAGGAGTACTGATAAACATGTTACAGAAAATGACGGATTTTTAATTAACTTGGTACCTGGAGACATTGTTTTGGCTGATCGAGGGTTTGACATTAAAGACAGTGTACTTATGATGAACGCTGATGTCAAAATCCCTATTAAGACAACTGGTCGTGCTCAGCTAGATGCCGAAGATGTTGAAGAAACAAGAAGCTTGGCGCACTTGAGAATTCATGTGGAACGTGTGATAGGCAATCTCTGCAACAAATATGAAATTTTGACTGGCACGATTCCTATCGCTTTGATCTTGCCATGTGAAAATGAGAAGGCAACGTTTCTTGACAAGATCGTACGGGTTTGCTGCGCCTTGACCAACATGTGTCCTAGTGTTGTGTAACTGATCAATATGACACAGAGTTAGTGTCTTGCTGTCCATCCCATGATTTTTTTTGTTACAAAAACCATGCCATTGTGTCTTCAGGGACTAAGGAGTGAAGATGTCAAAAACCCAAGAGTCATCCTTGTTCGGTGCTGAATCTCGGCGTACACACCGAAGATGAAACCATTCAGTTTCGCACTTCTCATTGTTACATGCTACCATGTCATCCATATCAGTAGTTACATGACCGAGCGCATGGCACCATTTTCCATAAACAGCCTAAATTATAGTTTACCAATCATTTACCCCGAATATTACCCAACAAAATTAACCAATTACCTATGATCCTTCAATATTATTACGAACAATTACCCCCGAATATGCATAAACAGCTTAACAGGGTACCGATCATGAATCTTGCCCAACAAAATTAACCAATTACTCCCGAATCATGAGTTAACGATCATTTACCCCGATTTTACTACACTCTTTAACCGAGAATAACCTAGAGCGATTGCCTGAAAAATACTTCTGTGGAATATATAATTGATTTAAATTTTTGAAATATTTTCCAGAACCGGGATGCTCATGAAATATACATATTGCATACATACAGAGCTACAACCATTGTCGCATGATACACTTACTCGAGCGAGGCAGAAAGGGAAAGCCGGCTTGGGACAGCGCTGGCGTACTATGCACGGGTGAACACCATAAATGCTTACATGCATAGCGGTGAGCTGCGTTCATTACAGCACCATCACCAAGGCTAACGCACCACTTTCATTGAGGCCATAGAAGTTAGTCATATTATCTCATCCGCTCATGTAAGAAGAGTCATGTTTAGCATGATTTTCAAGCACAGACCGGCACATGTTGCACGGTCCAATGCCTTCTTCTTTGCTGTTGACGGGGTGTAGTCAATTCTGTATCCCACCTGTGGCTCCACCTTGGCGATGCTGCTTGGAACCATTCAATATGCTGGAACTCCTGAAACACAGAAAACAGCAACTCATCTAATTCAAAATGACTACACCATGTTAATTAAGACATGAGACCATATTTGTAACTTGACGAAGCTGCAACTGGACTTTTTCCTTTCTTTGGTAACACTTGCACAATTGTATCCAGTCTATCCAGGCTTGGTGCTTGTCTTTAAAAGATCTATCTTTTCTTAATCCTTTTATTGTCCTAATCACAGTATCAGATATGCACTCAGTTTTGAAACCAAAAAAGAGCAACCAAAAATAAGAGTGTTGAAGTTGAAAGCAAAAAGATGAGTTTGTCCTTACCTGTGACTGTTGTTTTCTCTCTGCATCTTACAATGGCATCAACTTTGAATAATACCGCTCCAACATGTGTACAAGTCTCTCCAACCCCTGCCACACAGTCACAGTGAGCTGATATGATGGTGCCGTCAGCATCAGCAATGATCCAAGGCTTCAGCAGTTTTTCATTCAGCCGCATTGAGTGCATAACCTGAAAGCAGAGAGATATGCCTGTTACTGTAATATTTATGATATATGATACTATATATTTTGCTAGATCAGAATCTTCTTGCCAGTAGACAAGCTACATAAGTAATAATAAAAGTAATAGGTAATATTTACAGATCATATTACATTGTCATGAATTATTTATGTATATTACCGAATACAGATACAGGTTAGAATTTGGAAGGGGTTAATATATGGACTTGTGTACATATCATATTGGATCTAAAAATATGTAATTAAATTTTACATTATATTTAGCTAATATATTGGAACTGATCATGCTACTAGGTTGGATCAATCTTGAATATATGAACCCATATTCCTAGAATAAATAGTGGCAAAGTAGTGAGTTTTTTAGACTCTCCCTCAAGTTAATTTTTGAGTCCCATAACTGGCATAAGTAGGCCAGTAAAATATCATGGATACCACTCATCATACCAGCAGTACCGTCAAACAAGGTACGGCCATATGGGGGTAATAAGGGACAGTCCTCCAACATTTTGTAGAAATGTTGTAGCTGCTAAACTAATCAAAATATTGCAAAACTAAAAATAGTGGCATAAAGTTCCTCATTTTTAATATCTATGTAACATAAAGCAAGTTAAGAAATCATACATTTATTACCTTTAAAAAATCAATGAAAAAAGTGTGAAAAGTGAGATTTTGGAAAAGTACCTCTGCTAAGGTCTGTACTCTGTAGCAAAAAATATTTGTTAATAAATGGCGGCAATTTCCACAAGACGGGATAATAAGGGATCCCACATGGGGTAAAATGGAACACCCCTAAAAGCTAAAAATGCATGTGCAGTAGAACCATGGTTAGCAAAGGCTCCAGTTAACAAAAAATCAATTAACAACAAATAATTTTGATTACATTTATTTTGCTCAGTGAAAAATATTTACCTAACGAAAAATTAATGCATCATCAGACTGTCCCTCATGCCTCATTTCTTCATTCTCACATTAATTCAGGAGGCTTTTATATTGCATATAGCATCTTGGCCCCCTCACAAATATCAGGATATGAAAATTTTTTGGAGATGCCATAGCAGCCATACACCTAGCCCTTGGAGATGCCATACAATAGCCTAGTTGCAAAGAACTTTAAAATGAGCCCAAACTCATTTATAAAATGTTTCATGGTAGGAAGTTATTAACAAAAAATGCTCAAAAGTCAAAAACCGTCCCTTATTAGCCTTAGGTAACCGTAACCCTGTTGGCTGTTGCCTGTTCAGGCTGTTTGACGGCATCACACTTCACACATAGCCTAACTGCTGCCTAAGATATTGGTTTAATGGATTAAATCTTCAGTAAATAAGGAAATTAAAAATGAACTGCTTCTAGAATATCTCTGGTTTGTCACTAGGCTATGTAGAATTTGAAAATTCTAATGATTATGATTCCACCCTTCACTCCGACTCACTCGTGATCCATTATAATCACCTTGGCAGCAATGACAGTGTTGTTACAGTTGGCAGGTTTGTGGGTGTATATCTCCTGCACCCATCCATCCACAAATTGTTTGTAAGATTCAAGCGTCTTGAATGCCTTAAATTCTTGCAAGGTGTATTGGCTGACGCCAAACACGAAATAGTTAAATAAATCACCGTGTGAAATGGGGGGCAGGCTTGCAAAATCTTTACACCACTGCTTTGCCGGCACTTCATATGGATCAACATCGTTAATGTCTAGCAATTTTCTTAAATAACTGTCTCTAGCTGAAGGAAGTAGTTTTTCACAATAGCTTAATCCTTTCTGCCTGGCTCATTCTTTCTCCATTGTCACCATTCACCAAAACATCCAACCGACTGAAACGAGTAAGAACGAAAGAATGGTCTACAAAGATGGCGGCGGAGCAACGCGGATTACTTGGAAACGCGGGAGCTTGGCGAGCCCGATTGGTTCACTAAATGTAGTTCTATTTCTGAAATACACATTTGTGCTTAACCTATATCTTTTAAATTTGCAGCGTACTAAATTTCAAGAGATGCGTATGTCTGTGGGGGGCGCTAAAAATTCACTAGGGAGCCAAAGGGGGCGCCAGCCTGAAAAAGTTTGGGAACCACTGGTTTAGACAGACGGTACACACTGTAAGTAGATTGCAGAACGATCAATTAACTATTTGAGTCCCCGCTGTCTGATGTTTTCAACAAAGAAAATGTACTTATTTGGTAAACTTCGTAATATAATATTTGTATTATTTTGTTATATTTTGATTTTTCATGAATGAAATAATATTAGGTAGTAAATGGAGGGCTTATCCCAAACCTAAGACGGTAACTTATGCTCTTAAAAGTTAAAAAAGCCATCAAAATACCTTCTATCGAATTTTTATCGATTGAAAACATATTAAAATGTTATGTACACGGCTATATTAATTTTGGAAATAAAAATTTTGAAAAAGAGGTATAAGAATTTTATATAAATAAAGGCAGTTTTTTCAAACATTGAACGACATAATACGCACCAGTTCAGCTAAAAAAATATACGTTTAAAAATTTCTTTTTAAAGACAACACTTCCAAAGAATCCAGTATCTCCAATCTCACAGATATACAATGAATTTCTCATCTAATTTTCGAAAATTAAAAAAAATTATTTTTCAATTTTTTTAATATAGGTATATAAATTTTTTTCAAAATTATTTATTCTGTTAATTGATTCATGCATTGCCTCTTACTTCACACAAGTGTGCAAAATTTCAGATCAATTAGACCGGTAAAAGTGTGTCATATATCAGTTATAAGATTTGTAGCTGACAAAATTATTTTTTCAATTTTTTTAATATTGAAAAAAAAAATTTAAATTTTAAAAATCATTTATTTTGACATTTAATTCATGCATTGTCTCCAACTTTAAACAAGTGTGCAAAATTTCAGATCAATAGGATAAGTAGAAGTGTACCTATTAAATTTCGATTACAAGATTTGTAGCAGACAGACAGACAGACAGACAGACAGACAGACGAACAAGAAGTGAAGTCAAAGAGAAGTGTTGTAATAAGAGTAAAATAGTGAATAAAAAATCAAATCACTGTCTGAATTGACTCGTTTAAAACTGAGTATAAACTTCTGGTGACGTCAAAGCAAATCTGGCCATTAGTTAAGAGTGGCCTTTAATTTGGACAAACTCGGATAAATAGAGAGATCACAAGTACAGTGCATTTCTCATCTATAAAACGAATATAAATAGATATGATGTCAGAAATGCTTCTATGTTCAAATTTACACAAAAGTATTAACTACATGTACGCAAAAAATCTTGAAGTAATTTAAATCTCAAATTTAAAAATCTAAGAGTTAAACTGCGACCTCATTTTTATTACTCTTTATCATCAAAAAACATTGTAAAAGTAACGTAACTATTAATGAAGGCCAAAATGATATAATTTAAGCACTTAACGTTCATGTGAAAAGACTAGTATCACCATAAAATATCACATAATGAATCAAATACAGATACAATCATATGCATTAAAGCTTCATTTGCAAATAAATTTAAAGCGAGTTCTTCCACCGAATCATCCTTATGATTTTCTATGTAGAGTAATCTAGTTACCGAGACCTCTCATGTTACTCTCATGCCGTAACTCTTATCCATTTACGCGTTTTTAGGAATTCTGTTACTGTTGTCCGCTTAAAATGAGAATAAGTGCTAATATAGTTCAGCAAAAATAAAAATCAGTTACGATACATAATTACAGATCAATTGGTTCTTGTGTTTTTCATAGCCGAGCGGCTTGCCCGAGAAAAAAAAAGTTCCAACGTTGCTTCCCTATCGAAATTCGAAGACCTGTCAGCCGCTGGCACACGGACGCCCCAAGTTCTTATGGCCGGGTAAATTAGAAGCTCTATGTCCGCATTAGGTTCCGGTTGCCGTAGAGATGTGTATAAGAGACAGGCTTATAACAAACTAACCCACTTGTGTGCCTCACAGTGAAAGGTGCTTATAACAAACTAACCCACTTGTGTGCCTCACAGTGAAAGGTGNGGTCTTGCAGATGTTAATTCCAACTTCATTTTTAAGAGTGAGTGAAGATCACCCAAGTTACAGGAGGTGGTGGCGGCGGAGAGCATCTAATTTTTCTTCAGCTCCGAAGGAGTTAATGTCATGTCTTTTTAGCGCATTTTCTCATTTATGGAAAAAAGGCGCAATTGTGCTCCTCATGTCCGTCCATCTGTCCGTCTGTCTGTCCGCCCATCCGTCCGTCCATGAGCACGTTTTCGTCGACGAGAAAATGCGCTCTCTGTCACTCACTTCAGTGAGTACTGAATTTTATTTTTTTAGCTACTCACCGTTAAACAATGGCTTGCTTAAGTGGCACAGCACAATAAATATTTATGAGTTCGTAATCCCAACAGACACTCACCGACGGCTTTTTAAACTATATCCGATAATTAAAGATGTGTATAAGAGACAGGTACATAGAAGCAAAACACCCTACGTGGCCGACTTGCTCCTGATTCACCCCTAAGCCGAATATAGTTCCTCTAAAACGACCTTAATCGGCACGAAAATTTTGACAGGGTTGATGACCGAATTACGTGACAAATATTGGGATGTTTCACATATAATACACAACTGACCTGCAACTCTTTTTCGCGAGACCAATTTACACGTGACGGAAGGGATTAATTATTTGAGATGAAATTATTCTAGAAATTAATTATACAATATTGACTGGGGGCGAGAAAAAATGATTTAATTGTTGGTTATCTTATATTTAATTAATTAAGATCAGATCGGAATTAATTAAATCTGATCTCTTGATACGCAAGTAATTTTCAGAACACATCTATTTTTTGAATAAATTATATTCATATTTTCGTCTATTCAGAATATTACAAACAAATTTTTTGTTTGGATAGTTCCATAAAATTAAATGGAAGCCACTTTATTTTTTTTTATCCAGCAAGTTTCACAATGAACCTCACTGCTGCTCCCTACAACCACAACTCAATCAGAAGCTTTGCTGATAAAAAAATTAATTCTGAACCTAATGAGCTTAAATGTTATTAAGAAATGTTTAACAGCGATGTAATAGTAATCCCGGGGCTCCGTGTACCTAGGTTATTTGCTATTCCGTGTGTTGGTTAATGTTAAAAGATTTCAAAGAGCATCTCGGAGAAGTACAGAATTTCTATGACTGAAACTCCACCTTCGGTCAAAGATTTCTACCGCTTGGCGACCAGGCATAGAAGCACCTAGAAATAAAATTAATTATTCTTGAACTAGTAAATACGGTCAGCTCTTAAATATATATACTTGTGCTTATTTGTCAGAATTTTTAAGGATATTTATATTTCAAAAGATAGATTAACTATTGAGATGACGCTGACGAATTTCTCAATTTTTTTCCGCTAATCAAGAGAGAAGTTCTCAGAAATTATATCAAGTATAATGATTAGAATGATCAATGTCAAATTCCACTACCAAATATTCTATAGTAAGAATACTTTTTCAAAATCTTCGTTTCAAAAGCTACCGAATTGTTAATTATTGGTATATACGGTACCTATTCTGATCTCTCCTCAGAAGCGATATCAAAAACCGTATGAAACATAAATTAATTTCACTAAATTGTTTGATAATTCCATATTTTGCATATATATATTGCTTCATTTCTTTTCAGGCATGCCTGCAGGAATCTACAATAATTATATTTTCTCGTTCGGCGCTGTTATTCTTCTTTTATATAAGAATATAATATAAAAACTTTATATAAGAATATGAAATTATTTGGCGGATTAAAAGCGCTCAAAAATTATTTACTTGCCAAAAAATTAAAATTTTAATTCCCTGCATGAAAATCACATTCTTTTGTTGGTTTCATGATTCGTGGCAATTGCTGCAGGCGAATCCTCCCAGAAGCCATCAGTGCTTCCATTGTTTCATTTTTACTTTCTATTTCACTGTCGTTAACATGAATTCTGAAGCAAATTCAATTTGTTCTTATATACGGCACACTAATTACACCGCGGAAGACCGATTTTCAGCGTTCTTGCTAAAGTTCCTAAATCTCCAATTTACTTACATGCACATTCGGCTTGACTTTGTACTGGCAACATGAATTCGATTATCACCAGTTCTAACACTATTTTCCTATTCTAATACGATCATGTTTTACGATAAATTTAACTTTTGCAATGAATCGGTTTTCTACTTACTTTTAAGTTCTGCAAAGTTCCTATAAGTTGTCCGCTGTTTTCAAGTACAGCAATCGTATAGGAGTCGACCAGAATCATTGATTCCATGAAGATCTTGAGGTCGAAGATCGTTGCATGAGCAGCGAAATCGAAATACTCGTATCATCAGCCCTATATGCGGGCCTGTGTTGTGTTGTTTGGTACAGGCTTATGGCGCTTTGTTCCGTACAGGCTTATTGCGTGTTGTTGGTCGCAGGCTTATTAATTGCGAGGTGTTGGTTGCAGGCTTATTAATTGCGTCTTGCTTGGCGAAGGCTTATAGTGTTTTTTTTTTTGTGAAGGCTAATAAGGCTAATTGCCTTGCGCTTGGTTCAATTGAATGCCCAAATGAAAATTTTTGATATTCGAATGTGCAAAATTGCCCATCTCATTTATGTTTTCTGCTATGAGACCAGGGAGTTCATTATTTCATAAAAAATAGATGCTATTGGCAATACCAATTCAATTGGTGTAGACATTTTGTGAACAGTGCGGCCTGTGTTCGAAATGTTTGGTGCACACCTTTTGTGAACA